CTGCACTGAAGGAGACCACAGGACTCACAACACTGTTCCTGTAGAGGAGGAGAGTCAACTGAAGAAAGATACAAACAAAACACTATAAAGATCCCATGAAATGCAGTTTTACTTTTTCTGTGTTGACTTTTTGGCTTTTTTATGATAAGGGCCGGTCACACTACACGTTTCGTTCCATTGACTTCCATTCATATGTATGCAAATGCAGGAGAGCAGAAATGCAAGCTCCTGCGAAGTTGTTTCGCATTTCACTGTGTTTCAAAGTTCAAGTTTGGTGAATTTGTATCACATGAAACCGTGTGACCAACAGAAGATTGATACGTCACGGCATGACCTTGTAGCTTAAATAAAAGAACAGAAATTTAAAACCGCAGTGCTGCAGGAAAGTGGAGTAGATTGTATGTTTTTACATTTTGGATTTATTATTATTTGAGCTGGGTAGATTACTTACAAATTGCAGTCCATTACTGATTACAGATTGCATGATGAAAACTGTAGTTCCCTATCGAAAGGTAACTTGTTGCGTAGTCTTGACGACTATGGGGAAAACTCCTGTTTTACTCTGGTACTGAAGCCTGATTTGTTCACGTTTGTGTAGCTGCACAAACCAATGGCACTCTAGCCTGCTAAAATGGGTGGGGCCATCTGGCTATATAAGCTGGCTCAGAGCGCCATCTCATCAGAATCTTCTCCTTCAGTGACAAAACCATCTCTTTGCTGACTCTGCAATCAAGAAGCCTTCCGGTGCTTCAGAAGAGCAAATTTGCTAGTGATGTTGTTGCAAATGTCGCGCAGCGAGTGTGGCTCATGCAGGGAACCTCTACACGATGTAGAAGGATGCAGTAAGTGCGTTGCCTGTCTAGGCAGCATCCACGGAAAGGCTACGCGCTCTCTGAGACAGAATGCTCTCACATAGAGCATGCGTTTCACTCTTCTCCACTCGCAAACCACCTTCTTCAATGAAGGCAGCCCCGCTCTTCAGTTCTTCTCTCTCAGTGAGCTCGAAGATAGAAACGGTGGAGCCACGGTGCTGAGTAACAGGGTTTGAGTGATCTCACGCCAGCACAGGTCCCGCATGCTCACTCTCCCCGCAGCAATTTAATCTGCTGGTGTTTTAGACATGAGGATCGGCTCCCCTCGTTTCATCGATCGATTCAATCCTTCTAGGCGGATCGGAGTAGAATGCTGTCACCGACGTTCTGACGATTTTATAATTTGGATGTCCCTGCACTGCAGGCACGGATCTTATCTGATTAATATCTACCCATTCCCCCCCTCAGGTGGAAGGGCTATGTCAAGTATACCTCACACTATATTTGGATCTCTACTGTAGTTCAGGCTTACGGAGCCCTCGCTGAGTGTTCCTGGGTTGAGCTCGTAGAAGCAGACTTAGTTCTGCATCTGCTCATAGCACGGCACTACGGGATACGTTCCCTATAGTCGTCAAGACGATGCAACAAGAGTTACCTTTCGATAGGGAATGCTCTGTAACTAACGTAACCTCGGTTCCTTGAGATAAGGGAACAAGCGTTGCGTAACTAGCCATGCTATAAGCTGCACGCGAATTGATGACTGTCGCTTCAGTCGAGTGATTTTAATGAGATGGCCCTCTGAGCCGAGTAAAACAGGTGTTTTCCCCATAGTCGTCAAGCCAACGCAACGCTCGTTCCCTTATCTCAGGGAACCAAGACGTTAGTAACCGGAGCACTATTAACCTAATCTAGGTTTTTCATTTTAGGTAATGTATTCTGACTACTTTTTACATTACTTTTAGATTACTTTTTATCTAACTTGTTTTAAACTTTATACTTTAAACATTACGTTAAACCAGGGTTTCCCAAAATGGGCTTAGTGTAAGAACTGCAGTGGGTTTGTGAGTTGACAAAAAAAAAATGTAATCTTGCACCTGGCCAAGACGCTTGGATGTGCATACCTTGACCTTTTTTTAAAGGGGTTTGGCTGACAAAAATATTTGGGAATGAATAAACATTAATAAACATGAAAACAGCAATGACATTACACACCCAGAGTCTTCTAGGTTGTACCCAGACTTTAAGAACCAATAGTTACTGATGGTTACAGGATATGATAAAGAGAGTGTTTCACAGCTATGTTTGGTAACTTGCATAGCTATTTGCTTCATACGTGATCTAATTTCTCAAGATGTGCTGTTTTCCCCCAAATTCAGAAGCATGGATCGCAAAATTATTTACATGACATTTACATGGCCATTCAGTAGTGTAAATATAATCAAAGCTAAATGGTATGACACACAGCTGGAATTTTAGAGAGGAAAATTTAAAAGAGAAAAAAAGAAGAATTAAGGAGAATAAATAAATTATGAATTACTGCCATAGTGTGAATAATATGTAATCCATTAAAAAGTAACTGTAATCTAATTATGAGCATTTTAAAAAGATGCTGCAGAGCGTGACGTCATATTACAATCACTGCAGCTTCCAAAGAAATTTCACATGCTCAAAGTCTAGTGTGACCACGGCTTTACCCTGAAAACTGTCAGAAGATGGAAAGTTAAATTCATTGATAATTGTGTCTGAGTTTCTCTGTCTGTAGAATCAGCTGCTTCAGACACAGACAGATGTGCAGCAGATGATCAAGAACAGAATGAAGAAGATTGAAGAGATCCAGCACCCAAGTAGAGCTGAGAAAAGTGAGTGGGGGAAAAAAAATATAAAAAATTAATAATGTTATAAATCATAATATTTCAGTCTGCTTAATAAAGGAGCTCAATTAAATGGATTAAAAAATGACACGTTTTAAGTGACATGAGGACAGTACATGAGAGAATTTTCCTTTTTGAGTTAACTATCACTTTAAGTAAATATGTAACAATATAACAGATTGTCACAGTTATGAACTTTTTATTGTGTTTCTCTCTGTTCCTGTTCTCCTGCCCTGTTTCGTTCTGTTAGTTTCTTATTAGTCCTGGTTTGTTTCTATGTTTATATGATTTGCAGCTGTCTATCATTCATTTTTTTCATTACGTATACTCCCTGTTCTGTTCAGTGTTTGCCGGTTATTGTTTATGTTCACGTGTTTGTGCTACGTTGGTTTCGGTGATCTCCTGTGTTCCTTGTGGATTTATTATTAAAGGACTGTTGTGGATTATTCTTCATCTTTGTGCGCTTATTATAGAGCACCAAGCATGACACAGATGTATTGTCATATAGAATATTTAGTTAATTGATCTCATTGATCAGAGGAACACAGAGGAAGAGAAATCGGCCAGTGTTGAGCTCTTCACTGATCTGATCCGCTCCATTGAGAGATGTCAGTCTGAGCTGCTGAAGATGATGGAGGAACAGCAGAAAGCAGCAGAGAAACAGGCTGAAGATCTCATTAAAGAGCTGCAGCAGGAAATCACTGATCTGAAGAGGAGAAACACTGAGCTGGAGCAGCTCTCACACACTGACGATCATCTGCACCTCCTGCAGGTCTGTCAACATTTGTATCATCACTGAGAATAGAGAATATTATTTATCAAATGCTCTGTTGACAAACATGATGAGCTGCTGTCTTTAGAAATTGTACAGAAGAGAATGAAAGCGTAATAAAGTCAAAGAAAACTTAAGTTAACTGTGTAAGAAAGCTCATGCCTAATTTAAAGTTAAAAATAAAAAAAATGAACATATTTACTAGTCCTCTCTCTCCTGCTGTAGAAGTTCTCATCCCTGTGCAGTCGTCCACACACCAAGAACTGGACTGAGATCAGGATCGACTCTGACGTGGATGTGCTTCCTATGAAAAGAGCTTTGATTCAGCTGAAGAAAACTCTAAATGGGAGTCTAAATGAAAAACTCCGTCAGTCTAGTATGTTAATAGAGTTTTTTTTATGTGAAATTCTATCCAAATTTAAACTCATGTCATAACCAGTTAAATCAGTATTACTTGTGAATACCAGAAAGCAACATGTAATGAACATGAAGTAAGTATTAATGTGCCTGTGTAAACAGAAATCTGCCAAAAATTAAACAGTCTAAAAAGCATTCCCCACCTCACAGAAACTTTACAGCTCAAATAACACATATTTACACTGAATAATTAATATTAATAATTAAGGCTCTAATAAGTAATGAATATTAGAGCTTTAATTAAAAACGTTAATCTCTCTGTTATGATTTTCTAATAGATCTATAATTGTATTTAATTTAAAGACATTCAATTCTGTTTTTCAAACTGATGGGCGAGCAACATTTACATGCCACTGATGCTGACAATAGAAATAAACTCACTGTTAACCTGAAATATTCCTATAAATAATTCATCATGTTGTCATCTGTGTCTACAGGGTTGAAGTGTCTGAAGTAATAATGTTATAAATCATAATATTTCAGTCTGCTTAATAAAGGAGCTCAATTAAATGGATTAAAAAATGACACGTTTTAAGTGACATGAGGACAGTACATGAGAGAATTTTCCTTTTTGAGTTAACTATCACTTTAAGTAAATATGTAACAATATAACAGATTGTCACAGTTATGAACTTTTTATTGTGTTTCTCTCTGTTCCTGTTCTCCTGCCCTGTTTCGTTCTGTTAGTTTCTTATTAGTCCTGGTTTGTTTCTATGTTTATATGATTTGCAGCTTTCTATCATTCATTTGTTTCATTACTTATACTCCCTGTTCTGTTCAGTATTTGCCGGTTATTGTTTATGTTCACGTGTTTGTGCTACGTTGGTTTCGGTGATCTCCTGTGTTCCTTGTGGATTTATTATTAAAGGACTGTTGTGGATTATTCTTCATCTTTGTGCGCTTATTATAGAGCACCAAGCATGACACAGATTGATTGTCATATAGAATATTTAGTTAATTGATCTCATTGATCAGAGGAACACAGAGGAAGAGAAATCGGCCAGTGTTGAGCTCTTCACTGATCTGATCCGCTCCATTGAGAGATGTCAGTCTGAGCTGCTGAAGATGATGGAGGAACAGCAGAAAGCAGCAGAGAAACAGGCTGAAGATCTCATTAAAGAGCTGCAGCAGGAAATCACTGATCTGAAGAGGAGAAACACTGAGCTGGAGCAGCTCTCACACACTGACGATCATCTGCACCTCCTGCAGGTCTGTCAACATTTGTATCATCACTGAGAATAGAGAATATTATTTATCAAATGCTCTGTTGACAAACATGATGAGCTGCTGTCTTTAGAAATTGTACAGAAGAGAATGAAAGCGTAATAAAGTCAAAGAAAACTTAAGTTAACTGTGTAAGAAAGCTCATGCCTAATTTAAAGTTAAAAATAAAAAAAATGAACATATTTACTAGTCCTCTCTCTCCTGCTGTAGAAGTTCTCATCCCTGTGCAGTCGTCCACACACCAAGAACTGGACTGAGAGCAGTATTGACTCTGATGTGGATGTGTTCTCTTAAGTTAACTGTGTAAGAAAGCTCATGCCTAATTTAAAGTTAAAAATAAAAAAAATGAACATATTTACTAGTCCTCTCTCTCCTGCTGTAGAAGTTCTCATCCCTGTGCAGTCGTCCACACACCAAGAACTGGACTGAGATCAGGATCGACTCTGACGTGGATGTGCTTCCTATGAAAAGAGCTTTGATTCAGCTGAAGAAAACTCTAAATGGGAGTCTAAATGAAAAACTCCGTCAGTCTAGTATGTTAATAGAGTTTTTTTTATGTGAAATTCTATCCAAATTTAAACTCATGTCATAACCAGTTAAATCAGTATTACTTGTGAATACCAGAAAGCAACATGTAATGAACATGAAGTAAGTATTAATGTGCCTGTGTAAACAGAAATCTGCCAAAAATTAAACAGTCTAAAAAGCATTCCCCACCTCACAGAAACTTTACAGCTCAAATAACACATATTTACACTGAATAATTAATATTAATAATTAAGGCTCTAATAAGTAATGAATATTAGAGCTTTAATTAAAAACGTTAATCTCTCTGTTATGATTTTCTAATAGATCTATAATTGTATTTAATTTAAAGACATTCAATTCTGTTTTTCAAACTGATGGGCGAGCAACATTTACATGCCACTGATGCTGACAATAGAAATAAACTCACTGTTAACCTGAAATATTCCTATAAATAATTCATCATGTTGTCATCTGTGTCTACAGGGTTGAAGTGTCTGAAGTTTGCAGGTACAGTGTGACTGACACCAATTTCTCCAATACACTTGTTATAATAATAGTTGTTCATATTTTTATATTCTGTTTTATATGAAAATGTTTGTTGTGAAGTTGATTGATAATGTCTAATCTCTCATCTAGTGGATGTGACTCTGGATCCTGATTCAGCGAATCCGTATCTCATCCTGTCTGATGATGGAAAACAAGTCAGTCATGGAAACTTTAAGCAGGACGTCCCAGAAAACCCAAAGAGATTAAATAACACTTGTTGTGTTCTGGCAAAGCAGGGATTCAGTTCAGGGAGGTTTTACTATGAGGTGCAGGTGAAGGGAAAGACTGAATGGGATTTAGGAGTGGTCAGAGAATCCATTAAGAGGAAGAAGACAAACACACTGACTCCAGTTAATGGATTCTGGACTGTGATTCTGAGAAATGGGAATCAGTATAAAGCTTGTGAAAGTCCGTCTGTCTCTTTCTCTCTGAAAGTGAAACCTGAGAAGGTGGGAGTGTTTGTGGATTATGAGGAGGGTCTGGTCTCTTTTTATGACGTGGGCTCCAGATCTCATATCTACTCTTTCACTGGTCAGACTTTCACTGAGAAACTCTATCCATACTTTAGCCCATGCCGCAATGAAGGAGGTAAAAACTCAAACCCACTGATCATCTCACCTGTTAACAGATACATTTCTCTGAAATATGAAACATGAAATCTGGAAAGATTAACTATGCATGAGCTGTTTTTTAATGATTAAAATATGTAAATAAAAACCAAAAAAGAATACACACAAAGATCCATTTTAATAAAAATAATACAAATGAAATATTTGTAAATTACAGAAAAAAGTAAGCTGTCACAGCTACAGACTGGACCATGAAACCCCTACATGGGATTTCTGCTGACATTTTTTTGACCTGGGGCCCATTTCAACAAGGAGGTTCAACCAACTCTGAGTTGACTTACTCTGAGATGGGAAACTCATCAGTTTTTTCAAAAAGTTTTCGTGTTCAGAACAGCTGAATTGAGTTAGTTCATTCAACTCTGAGAAGGTTGAAGGTTGAAGACGTCTGCATACTTCCGAGTCAATGCGTAACTTTAATTCTTAATCCCTGTTATAATATCAAAGGTATAAAGTGGCAGAACGGTCAATTATTGAACTAATATTAATTTTCATGATATCCCACAGGCAAAAGCAAAAAATGAAAAAAGAACAAAAAAAGCAGCTAAAAATTATGTATAAAAACATAATTCAATCAGGTAAAGCTTTAAGCATAAAAGGTTCATGGGATTGGGTGAGTGCCCTGGGGCACAAGCCAATAGTGATTAATATAATGACTAGACCTTTAGGTAACAGTTCATAATAGCTTTTATTAATAAATCATTAACAAACATTATATAATGCTTAATGGATCATTAGTTAATATATATTCAAAGAGTTAGAAACGTGAGATAATGTGCTTGTTAATGTTTGCTAAAAAAACATATTAAACATTAGATGATGTTTAACAAATCATTATTTCATTTAAGTTAAATTGTTTATAAATGTCATTAAACTTTCAGTTCCATATGATCAAGCACTTATTGAAAATCTACAAATGTTTTTAACAGATGTTATAAAATTATTAAAAGCTTGTGTTAATGCACAACACTTCTGCTGCTATTGAGGTGTGATACGGGTAAGGTTAGGGACAGGTTTGGGTAGGTTTAAGGGTTGGTTAAAGGGTCAACAGTGTACAGGGGTCAATTTAATTACTATAAGGGAACAGTTCAATCTGTCTATATTACATTGTTTTGATAAATGAACAAGTATTTTCTTTTTTTAAATGATTTGTTTTTCTCTGTTTATTTATGATTCAAGGAATATCCTTTTTAATAAACTGAAGAGTAGTATACTAATGTGTGTTGAGGCAATAAAAACACATTTTTGCACCAAAATTACAATCTGTTATGTCTTTAGCAAGCATTTAGCTAAACTTAACCAGCCACCCTTTACACAAACCTTGTTACATTAGCTAAAACTCCAATGCATATAAAGATAATAAATGATTAGCAATCGTTTATAAACATTTACAAATGATGAATAGTAAATGTTTATAATAGAATAATGTTTGTTAATGGTTTATATGGTAAATGTGGTCACCCTAGGGCAGGGCTATTCAATTGGCGGCCCGCAGGCCACATCCGGCCCACCATTCATCTTCATCCATTAACGTCATCAATGAATGGCAGTGCTGACAAGCGCTTGTGTAAAGGGGTTATGACATATCCACATCTCTTGTTTAAAGGAGTATAAAGGCTGTGTTGTCCATCATAACTTCTGTCGAGAAATAGCGCAGACACTGGACGAAGATGATTATCGAATGGAGTCTGAAAGACTGCGCTTTCGGCTGTATTCTGAGCCGCTTCAGACAGTGCGCCAGTAGCGCTTCAACGGACAAAAACAGAATTATGTCAAAATGCTGGGTTTTGGCGAGTGACCTCGTAAACATTGTCTTAAATGAGTTATAAAGTCCTAAATGACCGTAAAGAGTTGGGAGAAAATCGGATGTGTGTCAGATTTTAAAGTGACAGCGCTGCTTTTAAAGTGAAATCTGATGAATTCTCATTGATGTACTGTAAATCACAGAAATCACTCGACTGCTCTAGTCGCTGATTAAGTTTTGTAGAGTAAATAAAGATTAATTTATGCATATACAATTTCTGGTTTATGTGAAGATTGTTTTAAGTTCACTTAAATTAAAAGTTAAAAATTATATTTTTCAGAACCTACTAAATAATGGCTTTCAATTATACAGTAACGTTGAATTGCTATAATTAATGGCTAAAATTGAGGGGGAAATGCATTTAATAGAGACATCAGTAGCAGTATTGCATTGTCATCAAAAATACTGGCCATTGTTAATAATAGGCTACTTAGTGAAAAGATGCCATTAAAGAAAATAATGGTGGCCACACAAAATATTGACACTTTGGGCCCAATTTGGACATTTTCACTTAGGAGTGTACTCACTTTTGTGGCCAGCGGTTTAGACATTAATGGCTGTGTGTTGAGTTATTTTGAGGGGACAGCTAATTTACACTGTTATACAAGCTGTACACTCACTACTTTACATTGTAGCAAAGTGTCATTTCTTCAGTGTTGTCACATGAAACGATATAATAAAATATTTACAAAAATGTGAGGGGTGTACTCACTTCTGTGAGATACTGTGTACAAACCCGATTCCAAAAAAGTTGGGACACTGTACAAATTGTGAATAAAAACAGAATGCAATGATGTGGAAGTTTCAAATTTCAATATTTTATTCAGAATACAACATAGATGACATATCAAATGTTTAAACTGAGAAAATGTATCATTTTAAGGGAAAAATAAGTTGATTTTAAATTTCATGGCATCAACACATCTCAAAAAAGTTGGGACAAGGCCATGTTTACCACTGTGTGGCATCCCCTCTTCTTTTTATAACAGTCTGCAAACGTCTGGGGACTGAGGAGACAAGTTGCTCAAGTTTAGGAATAGGAATGTTGTCCCATTCTTGTCTAATACAGGCTTCTAGTTGCTCAACTGTCTTAGGTCTTCTTTGTCGCATCTTCCTCTTTATGATGCGCCAAATGTTTTCTATGGGTGAAAGATCTGGACTGCAGGCTGGCCCTTTCAGTACCCGGATCCTTCTACGCAGCCATGATGTTGTAATTGATGCAGTATGTGGTCTGGCATTGTCATGTTGGAAAATGCAAGGTCTTCCCTGAAAGAGACGACGTCTGGATGGGAGCATATGTTGTTCTAGAACTTGGATATACCTTTCAGCATTGATGGTGCCTTTCCAGATGTGTAAGCTGCCCATGCCACATGCACTCATGCAACCCCATACCATCAGAGATGCAGGCTTCTGAACTGAGCGCTGATAACAACTTGGGTTGTCCTTGTCCTCTTTAGTCCGGATGACATGGCGTCCCAGTTTTCCAAAAAGAACTTCAAATTTTGATTCGTCTGACCACAGAACAGTTTTCCACTTTGCCACAGTCCATTTTAAATGAGCCTTGGCCCAGAGAAAACGCCTGCGCTTCTGGATCATGTTTAGATATGGCTTCTTTTTTGACCTATAGAGTTTTAGCCGGCAACGGCGAATGGCACGGTGGATTGTGTTCACCGACAATGTTTTCTTGAAGTATTCCTGAGCCCATGTTGTGATTTCCATTACAGTAGCATTCCTGTATGTGATGCAGTGCCGTCTAAGGGCCCGAAGATTACGGGCATCCAGTATGGTTTTCCGGCCTTGACCCTTACGCACAGAGGTTGTTCCAGATTCTCTGAATCTTTGGATGATATTATGCACTGTAGATGATGATAACTTCAAACTCTTTGCAATTTTTCTCTGAGAAACTGAAATTTTTCTGATATTGCTCCACTATTTTTCGCCGCAGCATTGGGGGAATTGGTGATCCTCTGCCCATCTTGACTTCTGAGAGACACTGCCACTCTGAGAGGCTCTTTTTATACCCAATCATGTTGCCAATTGACCTAATAAGTTGCAAATTGGTCCTCCAGCTGTTCCTTATATGTACATTTAACTTTTCCGGCCTCTTATTGCTACCTGTCCCAACTTTTTTGGAATGTGTAGCTCTCATGAAATCCAAAATGAGCCAATATTTGGCATGACATTTCAAAATGTCTCACTTTCAACATTTGATATGTTATCTATATTCTATTGTGAATAAAATATAAATTTATGAGATTTGTAAATTATTCCATTCCTTTTTTACTCACAATTTGTACAGTGTCCCAACTTTTTTGGAATTGGGTTTGTATATATATATATATATATATATTAATATTAACATTTGACTTGTACTCAGCCAACAGCAAGAAGGCTCACAAAATAATGATGAACAGATGAATAGGAGATTGCCACAATACCAACTATTGGAAGAATATTAAAATCCAACAGGAAAAAGAATAACTGCTGCTTTTGTATTGGTAGGAAATAAAGATGACCAAAAAAAAATTGACAGCTGTGGTGGTGGTGGTTACGGCATATTTCTCAAACTACCCTTCCATCTGGCATCCTTCCATTCCAATCAGCAATCAGCTTCATTTTCGATGGGTTTGTGCCAAAATAACTAAATATAACAAAACTAAATATGCATGTAGATATGGCAAAAAATATATATATATTTAAATAATCGTCTCCCGATGTAAATGTAACTCCCAAGAAATTAATGCAACCTCCTCATGTAAAGGATTCTGTATAAAAGGACGTGCCGTTTTTGTCACTTTCACAGTGTCTGCATGATGAAAATCTGCACAATGAATGAATGTAACAGCACTGCAAAAAAATGCTTTTCTTACTTAGTATTTTTGTCTTGTTGTTTCCAGTCAAAATATCTAAAGATTCTTAAATCAGGACGCATGTAGGCTACTACATAATTTATTTATTTATTTATTGCAAATTATCTGCCAGTGGTGTAAGAAAAATAATCTTGTTTCCATTTGCATTAAGATAATGTTTCTTGTTTTAAGTAAAACGCACTTAAATTAGATTTCAAAATACTCCGAAAGAAAAGCATTTTTGCAGCGTGAATGAATAAGGTATGAGATAAATGTTTAAATGAGTGGGCCTACATGAAACAGGGTGGGCAAAGTGTAGTGTATGAAAACTGCATGTCAAATTGCCAACAGCACAAAGGTTCAATATACAATGCTAAATACCATTCATTTTAATTTCAATTTTTATTAAAATGAAAAGTTGCATCTGTTAACATTCGTGCCTGAGCTAACAAAAATAACAACAAACAATTGCATTTTTATTACCCAATGTTAACAAACATAATAAATATTGTAACAAATGTATTTCTCATTGTTAATGTTAGTTAATGCATTAACTAATGTTAACTAAAGAAATTTTTTTGTAAAACATTACCTCAGTCTGAGACTACAGGGCTTTGCGGGTGATCTCATTATTATTATCAAGTGTGTCAGTTCGCGTTAACAGTTCTGTTAACATTGAGGAGCGTAGAAATGTGCGCAGCTGCAAATTATGCAGTTTGTTGTGGAGAACAGGATCTAGCACACCATTTATGCGTTTCTTTCCTCAAAGGACGCATCTATTTTATATATATGATGCTTCACACACGCTTGGCTCAGATGTTTTCAATCTATAAATCCTTATGTCTTTAACATTACACAGTGGGTGGGACTAACAGAAAGACGAA